AGTAAAATGAATAGCTATTTTAATTATAAAATGTGGATTATTTTTAAATAGCTTTTTGAAACCAGCAAAAATGAATTATTGAGTCAATCTGTAAGTAACACTGAGTTAAAAATTATATAATTAATAATGAAAGTCAAAAGTCATTAAGCTCTCGCCGATAATTAATTGGATTAAACAACAATTTTCATATGAACTTTCCATATTCATTTCATATGAACTCCATTTAGTTATTAATTGCAATCAGAATAGATCCGACTTTCGTCTAAATACTTTCACTCAGTGTTAAAAACAATTTACCCACAAATCAAAAATCTCGCCTATATCGTGTTAATTATTTTTTAATTATTTAGTAATCAAGTACCTATTTCTGATTTTCAGAGCCATTAACATTTACAAACGTTGCGATCCTTATTCAATCTTAAAAAAAAATAATTGTAAAATTTCCAAAAATTGGTAAAGTTAGAAATCATTTCTCCCAAAGAAATATTGCTACATAAAAAAATTTAGGATAAAAACCTGTACGTACTTGCATAAAATAAACACGTAAAAATTATTTTTTGCATGAAAGTATTTCTCTGTACAAAGATAAAAAAAAAAGCATTCTTCTACAGAAAAATAAATCACCCGTAGAGAGGTGTATATGTAAGTATATACATATATAACGTAAGAGTCGAATGAATATATTTCCTCGCGCGAGGAGAATAATTCCAAGTTATCGACAACCATCCAAAGTTCTCGATCGAAAGCAAACTCGCTCGATCGGTTCGCAAACTTGCCAAGATATTCTTTAATGGCGCGAAAGGAGATTTTCTTCGTAGAACGGCAGCCAGCCGTCGCTGTCTTCGACACCTCACGTGCATGAATTTGCAATCGCGTGTGCACTGATAACGTGCGATTCACTGAATCGTCCGTGATTACGAAGAAACTGGGACGCACACCTGACGCTGTTCCCCGATTACTCGACGAACGACTTTTACCCCGTGAATAATAACGATTCGACTCGAGACCACGAACGTGCTCGAAATGTAATCTCTCCTTTGACCCGAGCAGACGGAACACGTTTCATGCTTCCTGTCCCTTCCAAATGGATAACGCCATTCCCTTCAAACGCATTTTCACGAAATATTTGAAAACTATTCGTACAAGTAATTCATTGACTGATTCTTTTCACATGTGATGCTAATTATCAATTGTAATTAAATCGACTTATATAATTTCGACACTATAATGTATCATCGTTTGTGTAATTAATGGATAACGATGGTAGTAAATAAATTTCCTTCCGTAAGCTTTCTTGTCAGTTGGATTTTGAAGTAATTATTCATTGGAGATCGTGCATTGTATCAGGTAATTGAAGAAGTTCTTTTTCAGTGGAAGCTTCATTTTTATGACGCGTAATAAAAGAATACTTAATGATAAGATGGAATAATGCAATAGAATAGAAGTAGAATGGAATAATATTAAAATAATAATACAATAATAATAATAATAGTATTTTGTTTATAATAGTGATAATAGTAATTTAATTCGTGATTGTTAAGTCATGATTTCGGGAGATGAGTAATCTCTTCGATATTACTTCAACATTGCTTCTGAATTTTTAACTCGGCGGATAATCGAATCACACAGAAGCCAAATGACAACAACAGATGGACAACACTATTTTCTGAAAATGTTATTATTCTGCAAGTAGAAAAATACATGACTAGTATTTAATTTTTCAAAAATCAAATGATTAACCTCGATGGATTTGTTTAGTTTGATTTTTAAATGGCTCAATTATCTAGACTTAAAAGAGACAATAACTAAATAGAGATTAACATCAGAAGAATAACGACAATATATGAGAAGTTTCCATCTAAAAGCTTGAATTTCGTCACGGATTATACATTTAATAAGTAAGAAAAGCACTTATGCGTAAATGTAACTGCTTTCGTAAGCAAAGTGATTTTTTGCTACATTTTTTTTTATATCCTTCTTTCTTCTCATAAAAAGAATAACAGAATTTTCTTAGTTACCTGATGCGTACATTATTAGCTTTGTTATATATTTTGCTGATTCTTGAAGTTCGCAAATAATCGGATTTTTAGGTATCCAGAACGATGTCACATAGTACAGAAAATGTTTTTGTTTTGTTATGGAAACAAGATGTTGGTTCGTTGAGAAAATGTAGAAAGGGGATTTGCTTCGCTAGGTAGGAAAGTCGTATTCGATGAAATCACGTACGAAATCGAATTACATCGACACACAATGAAATGTGTATCTTGCTTGCAACTGCATTCTCACATCTCCTTCATTTTCGACAGAAACGACTGAATTGCATTACCAAAGAAATGGTAATACTACCGAAGAAGATCGACGTTTCGTGATTCACATTTCCAGCTCGTAAAAAACCGTCGTTCCAGCGGACATTTGTATTTCGAACATTGAACTGAAAATATGAAGAATAAAAGGACGAGAAAAATTCCATCCTAACTCCACATTTCATTGTTATTGCTTCATTGGAATATCGACGAATTTTATATTAATTCATAATATTGATGATACTATGAAGAATAAATTTCATTGGAAAATCAGTTTCAAGTTTGAAGTGGAATATCATTAATCGTTCAACCATTTGGCAGCGAACAAAATTTTTCTTCAAACCTGCTTTGAATTTTAACATTGTTTTGACAATACAATATAATTTTATTCGATAAAATTTTGACGCTTACATAATATTCTTCGAATATGAAATACCCAAATTTTAGACATTGTAAAAAATTTAATAAATTGTTGCAATACAGTCCTTATGCATCTTAGCTTCTGTATTTATACTTTTTGCTATGTAAAATAAAAGTACCATTTTATCTCGTTCTCTATTAAACATGTAAAAAGATATTATTTCGACGATGACATGAAATTGTTCTTTTGATTGATTCCTATTGTCTCACGTTACAACCTGGAACGCTGAGTAATCTCATTAAATCTCAACAAAGTCATTGTACATGATATAGATATAGCTATTTATGACGAATATTGCATATTTCCACGGATGAAAATACAGGAATATATTTTTCCGAAATCGAATTCTCCCCGTGATAAAGAATATCATCACAAAATTGGAAAGTACCGTTCGTCAGTCGATTTTACTTTTTTTCACTCCTGCATTACTTTCGTTCGCATAATGAGTGGATTCCATAGGTCACACACATTCTAATAAATATTCATCGATACTACAACTTTTTCGCCAGAAATTTTACATTTTGCACAGAGGTCCATCATATTTCCATATACTTCATTGTTACAGAATGATTATTCTACTAAAATATGTGAATTTGGAATTTTCAAACATCGAGGTAGTAGCTTCGCAATTAGTATGTAGAATTTATCAAACGTAAAATTATTTGCAAATTGCTCCGATGTGATTTGACGTGTTTTATAAAATATTAGGAGAAGATAATACATATCGTATAATTAATTATGATATGACATATATAAGTATATAAATAGACTTAAATAATCTCATATTATAAAAATTATAATTCAATTATATGTATATATATACGCATACATATATTCCCTCCATAGCAAAAAAATAAAATGTTTTCTGTTTTCATCAAATTACCATGGTAATCAAGCGAGCTCGATTATCGTGCGCAATTTATTCACTTACGCTTCTACACAGGTGCATCAGTATTTGTTTATGGCGTGTACGCCCGTGCAATTGACACATCAAATACATCCGTATGTCGTGTTCAGTAGGTGGAACCGTCGCCGGATATGACCGACACGTTGACATTTGCAAAATCATAGACGGTAATTAATTGTCAGTCCATCAGGCGAAACGAAAACGAGTCACCTGAACGTTTTGGTACATCAGATCCGTGAGAGAATGTTATGTTTGTCAAGCCCGACATGAACATGGCACCAGACGAGGTGAAATAACGATCGTCAAGAAGACAAAACATTTTAAACGAGCAGCCACGTTTTGTCGTAGCCACGGACGAAAAGAAAATATAATTAATTCATACAGCGTTCAACGGAGGGAAAGTTTGGAACTAAATAATTGCGATTGATAATTCGGCTTCTGTCTTTTCGCTCGCTATAATTCTTACGATGCCAGCATTCTCCCTTATTCTCGAATCCTTCGATTTTTATAATAAATTAAAACTCATAAATATCACATTGAAATCTTTATTAACGGCAATAAAATTTTAGATAAAGTGATATTTATGAATATTTCATTCTCATCGGTATAATTTCTTTATTTTTGATATCGTATTTAAACTATCAATTTATTCGCAATAAATTTTGGAATTTTAATCGGCGAGTCGGATATCAAAGTACGGAGAGAAATTATTTTTATAATCATCATTATTTAGCCGTAGATTATTATTTTGATCTACACACCGCCCATCACTGACTTATGTAAAATATCGTAAACAAGAACACAGTAGAAATAATTTCTCTCGCTTCGTCATCACAGCCATATATGGCCAATGCGTCACGATGTTTTGATATGGCAAGAATTTTTGCAGCACCTCGTAGCACACATTGGATCCATCGTGCGACAGAAAAAAAAAGGACACGAAGAGACTCTGCACCCCTGCCCCTTTTTGCTCCACGCAGAACCAACTTACTCTTGCAAACGCTTGAACCTATACAGACAACGTTTTTCTGGCGTTCGCGCGTTCCTAGAGTTCGTTTATCCTGCTCTCTTTTCTGCGCAAAAAGATAAATCAAACGAAAAAACGAAGTGAAAAAAGAGTGGAATAAAAAGGACAGGCGAACGCATAACAGAGCAGCAAAAACGCGTGAACGTGAGAGAAACGTAATTCGAAGGAATTAAAACTGTCGAAGCGTCCAAGTTCTCCCTATCAGATGAACGAGCCGATCTTTTCTCATATCACAGCAGTGTCTCTTACAGCGAACAACCTAATTACAAGTTTACCTTTTTTCTGTTTTCTGTTCGCTTCTTATGTTACGGACCAACCATGGTTTCTGGTTTCTCTGTGCAGTCCTTCAAGGTAATTCGCCGCCAGCTTTTTCTCTAGTTTTTCTTCTTCCATTTCTTCTATCTCTTTCGCACTATCTTCACTTTCTTTCATTCACATATATTACATGTACATACGTTTATATATATATCTATATATTTCATTCATTACACTACAATATATTATATCGCTGTACATGTGTCATATTCGCAGACATAATCAAACAACCTTCTTTCTATCTCTTCTTTCATTTTCACTGTTCTATTTCATTCTGTCTGCTCTTTCTTCATACCCTGTTCTACTATTTCATGCGCTTCCTACTAGCGAGTCGCAACATTTTTTCGCTCACCCTCGATCTATTCCATTTAGTGCATCCGCTTGCGTATGTGTACACTAAAACATCACGCCTCGCGATCGAGCGTGATTCATCGTCCGAGACAAAGAAATGGTTCCGTGGAATATCTCGATTCTATTGAAATTATTTTATCTCCCTATTTTTTAATATGACAACTTTGAACGAGAGATAAGGTAACGAGAGATTAGGTAAATAATAGATACCGTGGAATTAAAGATCTTTTTCCTATGAAAAACTTTTGCATTTATGTACCTCCTTAAAATACCAAAATTACAATTGCGAATATATGGCTGTAATTTTTTGATACAATTTAATTCAGTTTGAACGATAATTTGTGATTTATAATTTTGTAGAGTTAAGGTAATAAATGGTAGAAGACGATATCTGTAGCGACTTTATTCAGTAACAAATTTCTTCTTAAGGCAAAAATATTCTAGCATAGATTTTTTTATGATGAAATAGGACAGTAAAGATTCGATAAGAGAAATATATTTGCATAGTATAAGTAAAATATAGCTTTATTAATAATAATTAAGGTATTTTCTCAGAGCTATTACAGAAGACATTGATTATATTCTTGCATATTATTTTGATTTTTTTATCTTCTACCAAAGATATTGCAAATTTTACATCACTTTTTTTGTTACAAAATACCCATTACGATATCTCGTATACTTACAATTAGTAAACATTTTTTCACTATCTCTGAGATATTTATATAAATTTTTTTCCCCTATGAAAACATCTTCCTAGAAATTCAACAAGCCAGCCATATTTCTAGTGTGAACCACAAGTTTGCCATAGTTTGAAGTTGTTATATTAGTAAAATTCCATCATTCACTCGTTAAAACTTCCTTTTTATATCTCTCGTGATTAACATATCTAAGTCTCCAACTTAGACACAGAATTGCAGAATAAAAGACAACAGGATTCATCATGCCCATTATAGAACAGGTCAAACTCGACTAAACTTTATCGTATCTTTCCTATTCCCATCAATAGAGAAAGAATCATTTCTACGTCTCGACGACGAACGTTCCGTTAAAGATGCTACAAATGGACATACGCGCCATGCCACAAAATACACAAAGAATCGATACGTTGGTCCTGTCTGATTGTTCTTTTCTTTTTTTTTTTTTTTTTTT